TTTTTTGATGCGGGGCAATAGAAGCACAAGAAAGCTGCCAGATCAAGAGCGGCTGGGGTGTTGTTGAGTGTGAAGTCGGAGAGAAAGGGAGAGCGCCGTCTGGTATACGACGAGAGGGCTAGATGAGCAAGAAATAGGGACAACCAAGGCAACGGGTTGGGGTAAAAATTGAAAATGTTTCCGGGAGGAGGAAGTTTTTAATCACCTCATGTCAAGCAGCCAAAATGACGCGGGATGTGAGACGGAGGGCCGTGACTGATGTAAAAGAATGAGGTAGGTAACAGGTACCATACCTTACCTTGGGTGTGGAAGGTGGTACCCGATGACTGTTTCCAGTTCAATACATGTATCTTCACTATTATTTAGCACGCTGGAGGTACCTCTCGGTGCCCTTTTTGTAAGGTCGTTGACGTGCAGTCTGCTGGCCGCCTGTGGGGGGCACCACAAAGGGAAGGATCCAGCGAGACAGACCCCGATGTTGTGGGCAGGTGGTCCGGGATTCTCCCGCCGCAAATGGACACTGTTTCTATACGGTGCGGAGGCCAATCGTGGACAGCAGAAATCGACCAAAAAGAAAGAGCTCGTGTGAGACTCCAAGTATCTGCTCGGGCTCGCACAGTGGATAAAGTCCGACTTTGCCAGCGGAGCAGGCCCGAAGGCCGGCAACATCCCTCAAGGTTCCGGCACTCGGTCGTAGACTCTTCAAGCTTAGAGCCTACCTGGAGGCTAGGTGCCTTAGGTAACTTGCAGCCAAGCACGCCTTCCTGGGGTTGAGACTTGAGTCACTGCAGCTGGTGGGTTAAAGAGGAAAAAAAAAATCCAATTTTCTCCGGCGCCGGTGCGGATGGCACACCGCACAACAAGCATGAGACGGGACTGGCCACGACCTCCTTTGCGTGGGTCGCGGCTTGTTTGAAGATTTGGCCGACGCATTAAATTCAACTTGATGTAGGTACGAGGTGCTTTGACTAAGACGAATGCTCTTGTTACCTGCCTAGGTACTTACCTGGAATAAAGTCGCTGACCAGACCAAAGTGCCGATTCCGGGCCGCTCAACGACCTATGCGAAATCACCTCTTCCGTATACATCAACTTTGGTAAGGTATTCAGTGTGAGGTTCAACGGCCGCTCCGACCTTTTACAGGTCCGCAAGCACCGCCGCGTCCGCCCTTGAATCCCCCGACATTCTACGGAGCTTCCATATTGGTCACAGCCGCTGAGCCTCAAGGCGACATCCTGACAATGGAATGAGATTCCTCCATGCTTTTGAATTAACTTATATACAACTAGGCGCTTCAGTTGCCCAAGTATCGCGACAACACGCTAGATATGCTGCATTATTCTCAATTACGCAAAGTGAGCGAGGGAGGGAGCTGAGGATTTTAAGTGGCCCACAGCCATATGCGGACATGGGCACCATCCCACCCCACCTTCGAGATGCAAGCAAGAGGAAGATTTGCTTATTTGACTTATTCCCTGTCTATTGCTTCCATTGTTGATGCCCGTACCCGTCTTACGTGAAGGAAAATTCGAGTGAACACCCTTTCTACAAATCCATTTTAGCACCGACGTATAGCATCATTCATGACCAGAGCGTAAGATAGCCGTATCGTTGAGAATGTTGGAAACCGAAACGTCAATTACCATCTATCAAGCAAGAAGCTCATCCATTCAATGTTGCTCTGCTTGGCTTAACCCTCAAAACGGGTTTATTGACGTGGCGCTGAGCGTGACGCCGCCGCCGCCTTTCGTGACGCGAAAGGACCAGAGCATGACTATCACGCACTCCCCAAAATGAAGTCTGCCATGAACGTGAAGAACCTAGCAATTCAGTCGACCGGCAGTTGCCGCTCAGCTTTGCTTGCATTCAGCCGCCTCCGCCTTGGGCTTGCCGGTGTCATCCTGGAGTATGATTAGCGTCTGCTGTCGTAGAGTCCTCAAGTTAGGCGTCACTTACCTCGTCCTCGGACTCCTCATCCTCATCATGGTCCTCGCTAAGGTCATCCTCATCCTCGTCGTCTTCATCATCGAAGTCGCCCTCCATGTCGTCATCGTCGAGCTCCTCAAAGGCCAGGGCCTCGCCGGTGAACCAGTCAATTGCACGGGGAATGAGCTTCTCCTTGATGTCCTCGCCGAGTTGGTAGTCAAGCTCGAGGCGCTCCTCAATGTCGGAGGCAGCGTCATCGTCCTCGTCGGCAGGGGCCTGGGGAGGCGAGAAGAAGTTGAAGAAAGATTCGGTGGGCACCGTCTTCTTGACAATGCGGGTCTGCTTGGTGTCTGGGAGAGGGGTTAGCGGCTGCATCTCCATGTGCGGTTATTCATGCAAAGCTTACTCTTGTTTCTCTGCTTCTTGCTCTCGACTCTGACAGTCAAGTCCTTGGCCTCCTTCCACTCGATCTTGTCGCCCTCGGCATGGTCGTAGATGAAGTCACCGCCATAGCCGCTTTCACTTTGGTAAAAGTATGTCTTGGTGACAGTCTTGTTGGTGAAGAAATCATTCTCGGCGAACTCGAAGATGAGGCGGAAGCCAGGCTTGTCGAGGTACTCCATGCGAATATCGATCAGGTGCTTGAGAGCGGCCTCGTCGCGATCGGTAATCATCTCGGCGAGAGAAATCTGGTTCTTCATGGCAGACAACCAGAACTCGGGGATGCCAGAAACCGACTCATTCGATTCGGCAGGCTTCTCGGCCTTCTCAGCTTCTTCAGTCTCCTCATCGTCCTCCTCGTCATCCTCCTCGCCGGCTTTGATCTCCTCCTCGGTAGGCTCAGAGGCACCGTTGACAACCTTGGCACGTTTCTCGTAGAGAGGAGTGAATTTGGCGAAGTACTTCTTCTCGAGCTGGAGAACCTCCTCCTGGAACTCGGCCTCAAGTTTGGAGTGTTCCTTCTGGATGCCTTTGAGGCCGGCAACACGGCGACGCACCTGCGGAGGCAGCGACTCGATGTAGCCGGAGGATCGGCCAACGAGAGAACCAAGTCTTCCTTGGATCATCTGGACAAGCTTGGGGTTCTGTGCAAAGATGGAGGCAGCAGCGGCACGGTCGAGATCCTCTGTATATTGGGTGCACGTCAGTAACAGGTCGATAGAGGGGTGGTCGTATCCAAAAGAACAAGTCAAAGTGCGCGCAAGAGAAAATGGAGACGAATAACGCGGCGGGGGTTTTTAGTACATACCCTCCTTGATGCTGGCGACGCCAGGCTGCTGGGCATGCGACGAAATAGGCGCATTTTGAAGGGGGGTGTTTTGCGGCGTACTGTATGCTCGGGAGTAGATGTCAGCGATGGTGATCGTGGAATGGGGCAAGGGAAGCCAAAGGAAGCGACCCCTCGCCACCGGAGAGAATAGTGCCGCAAGATTTGTGACTTACGGCGCGGTGGCCGGATCGAGGCGCTTGTTACGGATGGGCTCAGCCATTATGTGCGATCGAATCTTTTGGTTTTTCGTATTCGATAATGGAGTGATACCACAAGAGGCGTGGGACAGAGAAGTCCCGGGCTGATCTGGAGGGAGGTTGCGGTTGATGGAGTTGGCAGGGCAGAGAACGGTGCCGAACGTGGGAAGTTGTAGATGCGCAGTTGACTTTATTTTGGTGGGGGGAAGGCAATGTGTGGTATTGGAAAAAAAAAATTGGGAGAGAGGCTTTCTCCTCCGTTGGGGCGGGTACCGCAAGTTGGCGCCTGGGCTCCTCCTATGGTTAGGCGGACATGGCGGGCACAGCGGGTAGCGTGCTGCCAATGGATTCCACTGCGGGCGACTTCCATAAACATGGGCGGGCAACCTGAGCCAAGGGGGCTGGGCAGACAGTTCCCTGCTATTGGACCTCATGAGGTTAGGTCAGGTAGGCAGGTACCTAAGGCACCATACCTATCCGTACAAATGGTGTGGACACCAGGTGGTGCAGGCACAGGTATCTGCAAGGTGGTGAGGTAGCCCAAGTAAGGTAGGCAGGTACCTAGGCAGTCCTGCATCACTGGGCTGGGCTCTCTAAGAGAGGTGCCGGTACGTTCGACTGGTCAGACGTGTTGAGGAGGTATCTATCTTAACAGAAGCACTAACATCAACCTTCAGTAACTATCCCAGGGCTCCGAACATCTCTTTGTCGTACGCTGCACGGCTGCACAAAGCCCAAGAGACAAGCAGCTATTGATACCACTCAATATCTGTCAATCAACATCATTTCAGCGAAATTGATCCAGGCAAGTCTAAGCATTGATTCCATACTTACCTACCATATCCGTACGTGGTCGGCCAAGTGAGGTAATGCGGGGGTTGTGGCGGGGGTCACTGGGGCTACCTCAGTGCTCCCTCCCGTCTTGCGCAACCTGGACGGCACCCAAGGAATCATCGTATTTTAAACAAGTTCCTTACTAGATAAGTATATGCCGTACCATGGATTAGAAAATGGAAACTTAGTAGGAAAGGATGCCTTAACTCAACCGTAGGCATCAATATGAGTGTGCAGTTAGAAGATATACATGAGCAAATGGAAGGCAGTCGTTGGTATTGGTCGATGACATTGAGGCGGTTCCCCTCCAAGGTTTTTGTCGGCATTTGCCGAGGGCTGCTTACCTAAAATTTCGACGAGACAAAACCTCCCTACCCTCACCCTCTGATACACCATAGGGTAGGTACTACGGATACCTCTCGCTATTACCAACCTACCTTAATTCCAGCGGTTCGTTTCTTATCGGTTCAAGAGGTGGCCCATTTGCCAGCCACCGTCTTGCCCGGGTGGACGATGGCGGCGCTACTTAGCCACCTAGGTAGCGAGAGCATGATGCCTATCCCACCGATGATAAGGTAATCCGAAGATACTTTACCTTACATAAGGCACCCGAGGGCAACGCCGTACCTACCCGCGCGACCTGTCACCTTGCGTGCTTGCCTACCTTACCTTAGGTAATTATGTCATCGTAGGTACACAGTAGCTACCCAAGGTACGGATAAACCACATGCCTGTCTACCTAGTACTCCAGTCACCTTGCAATCCCTGATAACCTACAATGCCTCTTCCGTGCCAATTTGAGTTGCTTTACTATTGAAGCGCTGAGGATGCGATATGCCAACATACCATATACGTAGCTCAACGAGATAGCTACAGGTGCCTGGCTTTTCCTTGTCCTTTTGTGAGCTCTAGCTACAAATCCAAACTCTAGCGCCCATCCAACTTGGGGACGATTGAACCGACCGTGCGGGCATCCGCGCTGACTTTCTTCAACCTGCCGATCGACCCCCCAACTCCGAAATCACATCGCAGCGCATCACAGTACAGCTTCCTCGAGCTTTTCTAAGCTGCTTCTTCCAGTTTTCGCGGCCCAAGTAAGACTGTTGACCCACGGTTATGGGCCGTTCTCGCCAAACGTACAACACCGCTTCTCCCAACTCGACCCTCGCTTCGGCACTTCAGCCACCCCTTCGACCTCTCGTCTCTCGAGCTGGAACCTTCGATACCGTTACGGCGACTCGATCGCCCTGAAGAAACCGCAGACATGCCTGCGCCTGGAGAGAACGGGCACCATCGTGCCTCCTCTACATCAAGGAATGGCCATGCGCCGCTCTACCGGCTCGACTCGAACCAGAGCTCAACGAGCATCTTCGAGGAGGTGGAGATGGCCCACGACGAGGTTAGACATAACCCAAGTTCCGTTTCCAATTGCGCATGGAATCTAATCATATTGTCTATAGCTCTTCTCGGGTCCTATGGCCGAAAGCCTTCCTACCAGCGTTTCGGCCTTCTCACATCGACGTCCTCGTGCCGACTCTACGACGAGTTTTGCATACTATCACGATGAGCCCGAAGCCTCCCCTACCTCGTTCGAAGATGAGCGCCAGAGCCTGTCGGATGTGGGAGACTTCGCATTTGGTGATGACGAAGGCTATGCTGATTACGAAAATGGCGACTCCATCGATGATTACACGTCCCAACGCAGGCGGTCGTCAACGCACTCGAGATCGTCTGTTCACGCCCGTCTATTGCGCCAAGACAGTGGTATGACCAATAAGAGCCTTGGTGGGGATCGTTTAAGCCAGAAGGTCTACATGGTGAACGAAGACCTTACCATTGCAATTGCTGGCTTTCGGACGAGTCGGCTTGGCTTCGTTGTGTATGCCGCACTTTGCCTATGCACTGCTGGCATCGCTTGGCTGCTACTCAGATGGTTTCCCAGATGGCAGGTGAAACTTTTGGGTCTACCGTCTCCTCTAGCGGAGTGCGACTGGGTTGTTGTCGAGGTAAGTTATGCGTTCCCCTTACTGTTACACATGAGCTGACTTCGTCTAGAACCAATGGGGAGAGTTCGTCCTGATGGACGTAGACAAAAAGCTGTACGGTAGACCTATGTCTACCATCTTTGGCTCCACTGGAAAGAGCTACGGGGTGGATGATGATTACGATCCCATTATCACCGAGTTGCGTATGCTCAATTATCGTTACGTTCGCTTGTACTTCAACCAGCAAAAGGACAAGTTTGTCATGTTCAACGGCTGGGTTGATCCGAATTGGACCGATCCTCGCGCCGTACGTGTCGGCATAGACAGCGACGAGAAGGGACTGCGAGCAGTTGTGTTTGGAAACAACCTGATTGACATTGAGCAAAAGTCGACACCGCAGTTGCTCGTAGATGAGGTAGGTGGTCGTTTCTTGTGATTGGCCGAGATGCTAATTGTTCCAGGTTTTCCATCCTTTCTACGTCTTTCAAATTGCTAGCCTGGTTCTATGGTCTCTTGACGAGTATTATTACTACGCCGTGGCTATCTTCCTCATGTCGTTTGGAAGTATCGCCACTACCCTCATAGAAACCAAAGCGGTAGGTCAAATTACACGTTGTGCTTTTGGGACAGCGGAAGGCTAATGAACAGACGATGAAACGACTCCGCGAGATTTCTCGCTTCGAGTGCGATGTGCGTGTCCTTCGAAATGGATTCTGTAAGGACTCAGCTGCCGTATCACACTTGCTGGATATTCTGACAGACATAGGGCGATTTGTATCTTCGAGCGAGCTCGTGCCTGGTGACGTGTACGAGGTCAGCGACCCGAATCTTACTCAATTTCCAAGTGATGGCTTGCTTTTGAGCGGCGATTGCATTGTTAATGAGAGCATGCTCACAGGTGAGTCTCACTCTTGAATCCTACTTTTCCATGAGCGAAACTTACTTACGGCTGCTTCTCAGGTGAATCGGTGCCTGTGTCAAAAACACCAGCCACTGATGAGACCATGCACAGTCTCGATTTGGCTGCGCCGACCGTGTCGCCTGAGATTGGTAAACACTTCCTCTTCTGTGGTACCAAGATCATTCGCGCCCGGCGGCCGCAGGAAGAGCGCGATGGAGACGCTGTCGCCCTCGCCCTCGTGGTCAGAACGGGATTCAGCACCACGAAGGGGTCCCTTGTCCGGTCCATGCTCTTCCCCAAACCATCTGGCTTCAAATTCTATAGAGACTCGTTCCGGTACATCAGCGTCATGGCCATTGTGGCCATGCTTGGTTTCATCGCGTCTCTATTTAATTTCCTGCGACTTCACCTTGCCTGGCACCTCATCATAGTCCGTGCTCTCGATCTTATCACCATCGTGGTGCCACCAGCACTGCCCGCGACGCTCACGATTGGTACCAACTTCGCGCTCAGTCGACTGAAAAATAAACAGATCTTTTGTATCAGTCCACAGCGGGTCAACGTAGGTGGAAAGATTGACATCATGTGCTTTGACAAAACCGGCACACTGACAGAGGACGGATTGGACATACTCGGTGTTCGCGTTGCATCGCCGGTGACAGGCAGATTCACGGATGTGCTTACGGATTCATCATCGTTCGTACAAGAACAGGCCGGCGGTTCAGCCCAGATGTCCAAATTGAGAGCTGCCTTATACACCATGGCAACTTGTCACTCGTTGAGGTCTGTGGATGACGAGCTGATGGGCGACCCACTTGACCTAAAAATGTTCGAGTTTACAAGATGGTCTTTCGAAGAAGGCAAACAAAGCCCCAATGAGGTGGACGACCAAGATCAGGGTGGACTTTCGCCGTCAGTCGCTCGACCTCCAGCTGAGCATGATGCTATTCTGCGTGGCACCACTCACCAGGGAGACCAATCAGTAGGCTGCGGACCCCTCTTGATCAAAGCTAGACTAACCCACTTGATCAGCAACCGCTTGAACTGGGAGTACTGAAGTCCTTCGAATTCGTTTCGCAGCTCCGCAGAGCAAGCGTCATCGTTCGACAATTTGGACAGCAAAGTGGGGACATATATGTCAAAGGTGCTCCTGAATGCATGCGAGAGATATGTCGTGAAGACAGCTGTAAGTGATCAATTTCTACCGCAGTGATATCCTCTCACCTACGAAAGCACCACTGATCTTTACTCTTCTCTGTGTCAAATAGTCCCAGTCGACTATGATGATCAGCTTGCCTACTATACACACAAGGGTTACCGCGTCATTGGCTGCGCAGCTCGCCATATTCCAAAACTTAGCTGGGTCAAAGCCCAGAAGATGAAGCGACATGAGGCAGAGTCCCAACTGGAATTCACTGGTTTCATCGTCTTCGAGAACAAGCTCAAGCCGACCACGGCTCCTGTACTGACCGAGCTGCTGGAATCGAACATCAGTACGACGATGGTAACAGGTGACAACATCCTGACTGCCATCAGCGTGGCTCGTGAATGCAACTTGATCAACAAGACCGCACACTGCTTTGTTCCGAGATTCGTAGAAGGTAGGTGGTGAACAATGAGGTATCTGAATGGTTCTAACAACGAACAGGCAATGCCGGTGACCCCAAAGCTCGGCTACAGTGGGAGAGCATCGATAACGGAGGCTTCCAGCTGAACGAACAGACTCTTCTTGTAAGTCCAACCCAACTTTGAAGGCAATTTTACAGAAGCTAATTTGGTGCTCAGCCACTGCCGCCTCCGGCTGATGTTGATGCATCGTTGGCGTATAACATTAATGACATCCGCAATTACTCACTAGCAGTCAGCGGTGAGGTATTTCGCTGGATTGTGGACTTCGCGCCTCCGTTGGTATTGCAGAGAGTATGTTCCTACCTACCCCGAAGATGCCGCCTAGTCGCCTTTGCTCACAAACTTAGATGCTGGTCCGTGGTCGAGTGTTCGCGCGTATGTCTCCAGACGAAAAACACGAGCTGGTCGAGAAATTGCAAGCGATCGGGTACTGTTGTGGCTTTTGTGGTGACGGTGCGAATGATTGCGGCGCTCTCAAGGCTGCAGATGTTGGCATCTCCCTCTCAGAGGCGGAAGCTTCCGTTGCAGCTCCGTTCACGTCACGCGTCTTCGACATCGGTTGCGTTCCCCAGGTTATCCGGTAAGTGATGCCACTGCCTGCGAAGCAGAGTATTATCATAACAAGTATCTTTAGCGAGGGGCGTGCTGCACTTGTGACGAGCTTCAGTTGCTTTAAGTACATGAGTCTGTACTCGGCCATCCAGTTCACGTCTGTCAGTTTTCTCTATGCTACAGCTTCTAATCTCGGCGACTTTCAAGTAGGTCTATATGATCACCAAAGTCTCACCATTAGCTAATCACTCTTTAGTTTCTGTTCATCGATCTACTCTTGATTCTTCCCATTGCCATTTTCAGTAAGTCACAATTCTACATCGGAGCCTTCGAGCAATACGCTGATATTTGTCATAGTGAGCTGGGCCGGACCATACCCCGTTCTGTCACGAAAGCGACCGACTGCAGACCTTGTCTCGCGCAAGGTGCTCATCCCGCTGCTAGGACAGATGGTTATTTGTATTCTCGTGCAGACTGCTGTGTATATTGCCGTGAGAAAGCAGTCATGGTGAGCGATTCATACCTTACTTTCACATTCTCTTTTGCGCATCGCTAACCGGATAAAAAGGTACATTCCCCCACGAGTCAACCATGACAAGTCGAATATCAAGAACTCGGAAAATACTGTCTTATTTTTGGTGTCCTGTTTTGAGTACATCTTGGCGGGCGTGGTACTCAACGCGGGCCCTCCCTTCAGGGAAAAGGCGCTAAAGAACTGTAAGTGAAATTGTATTTCTGGAAGATTTGTTTAATCAACTAACACTAACAAGGGCCGTTTATGGCAACCATCGTGGCAACCATTTCAATCACATTATGGATGATACTTGGTCCGGGGCATTCAGTAAGGCACCTGATGCAACTCACCAAGACGAGCTGGGACTTTGAGCTCTTCATGATTTTATTAGGGGGCGTTTACTTGGTCACGGCGTGGATATCGGAAAAGTACATCTTCCAAAAGCTGGCTCGGGCTGCGGGACATTTCAAGGAACGCATCCTGATGAAGCCGAAGCAAAGAAAGGAGTATAAAATCATTTTGGAGCACATGGACTTGTAGGATTACACCGTTAGAAAGCCGCCTTTGAGGCAAAAGGGATAATGCGATAACGTATTCCCACATAGAGTATAACAAGCACTGCTCTAATGTATTCAAACAATCAATTGACTGTTACTGAGAGCCTGTCTTCTATATAGAATATGAATTTCTCCATCTCGTTCCTGTTCGAATATCAGGATGCTGCTACGGTAGGCCAGATTGGGCGTGCGATGATCGCGAATGTTGGGTGAACCACGAATGAACGTGTCATCGATGATCCACCGACCCGCATTCCGGTGCCGACCTAGCCCAGGCGGGTCGTTCCGGCTCCGAGTGGCCGGGGGCTGCGGCTGCACCATGCGACCTGCCACCCCAGCCACAAGGACAGTTAGCTAGCTCTCGACTACTTCCCTCAGTCGATCAATAAATCCAGTCAAGCTTCGACTGCCATCGTCTATTCCCAACTCTCGTGCCGACAGCCCTCGTTGAATTAGCCTAGAGACCTCGCATCAACCAACGACTTACATTGCTTGTAACTCATTGCTTATAATTCACTTGGATTTGGTGCTCGGACACCGCTGTGGTTTCAAAGTACAATACAACCTCACGCATCGGGACTCAGGCCATAAAGACGGTCAATCCCTTGCTTCTGTCACTCTTCTCATTTCCACTAACCCTTTGCGAATCACCTCTACCGCGAAGATGAACACGGGTACGTCCTCGCAACGAAGCACCGTCAAGCTCGTTGTGAAGCTGGCAGAGACTGGACAACACATTTCTAACGCAACATCTAGACTGGCTCCTCGACAGCGGCTACCTGCCCCACGCCGTCATCAGGATAGGCATCCGGCGCCAGCTCCAGGAGCGTCTCGACTCCATCGCGAGCACGTCCCTCAGCCTCGACTACGAGCGCAAGATGACGTTCATCGAGAAGTTGCGCACCCAGCCCATCGCAATTGAGACCGCTGCGGCCAACAAGCAGCACTACGAGGTTGGCACCGGCGTCCTTGCCGCATGCCTTGGCCCCCGCATGAAGTACTCATGCTGCCTGTACCCCAAGGGAGGCGAGACACTGGCACAGGCAGAAGTGGCCATGTTGCGGACGTACGTCGAAAAGGCCGATATAAAGGATGGTATGAGTATCTTAGATCTCGGGTGAGTTGTCTCCGGTCCTTTGCATGCATCGTGAGATCATTTGTAAGTTTCAGGGCTGAGTTGACGTTTGCAGCTGTGGTTGGGGATCAGGTGCGCTGTACTTCGCTGAGGTACTCCCCAATTCAAAGGTCACGGCCTTTTCCAACTCCAGGACCCAAAAGGAGTATATCGATGGAAAAGCCAAGGAGAAAGGGTTGTCCAACCTCACGGTCATCACAGGTAATGTCGTTGACTATGAGTTTGAGCGGGAGTCTTTTGACAGGGTCGTCTCTATTGAGGTATGTGTTTTGGTTCACCGCTAGATGTGTCCGATGAAGTGGGTGTTGATTATATCCAAAGCTATTCGAGCACATGAAAAACTACGAGCTCCTCATGGCAAAGGTGGGCAGGGCGTTGAAGCCCGGTGGCAAGCTTTTTGTTCACATCTTTGCCCACAAGACCACGCCGTACGATTAGTAAGTGGCGGCCGCAATGTTGTTCATTCATGACAAACGCTGATCGTGGGGGAACGCAGCGAGGAGGGCTGGATGACAACCCATTTCTTCACAGGAGGTACTATGCCTTCCACTGACCTGCTCCTGTTCTTCCAACGGGACCTACAGATCCAGAAGCAGTGGTGGGTCAACGGACTACATTATTCCAAGACGTGCGAGGTAAGTTGTCGCCGATCTTCCTTCTAGCCTAGATCAGTCTCGGGAGGACAAGCTAACACGGGCATCAAGCACTGGCTGAGCGAGATGCTCGCACACAAGAAAGAAATCTGGCCGCACTTGGTCGAGACGTATGGGGAGCAGAACGCCAGCGTGTGGTTCAACAGGTGGCAGATCTTCTACTTGGCGTGTTCTGAGCTGTTCGCCTACCAAGGCGGGGACACCTGGGGCGTGTCGCACTACCTTTTCGAAAAGCCCAACACTCAGTAGAAGGGACGGACAGAGATGAATCCAAGCATAGTTGTGCCTGCCGTAATTGCCTAAGACCCATAATAGAGTAGCTATCCGTTCATTCCTCTGCTGATATCTGTTTGACTTGTGGACTGGCGAATGCCGAAATATTTGTCCATGTCGCGCATCCTCTGCGCATCCCTCAAACTTCTCGTTCACTATACTGCCCCTCTCCAGAACTTTCGGATCAATGGTCCCAGGGGTGCTTCCAGCCCAGCAAAACAGCTCCTGCACACACCGTCAGCATTGACGCACTCAGTATCGTTGACAGGTGAGGGAAATTTACCGTCCTTCTTCGCGCGGTACATTAGCTGTTGGTGGTGCAGATTGACATTAGCTTTCTCGGCCTCCCATCACCAATTGGGGCCTCAATTAGAGACATACGAAGAACCACATGCCAGCGCCCAGGGCTGTCGCCGTGAAGCGGTACACACCAGGGACGTGAGGCGTCGGGGGCTTGGGACCGGGATACATGGCGAAGGTCGATACGGGCGCGTCGTTCGGAGAAGATTCTCGAGGGGGAGGGAGGGTTTCCTGAGATTATTACTCATCAGCAGACAGCCAGAGACTCAATTGAGCCCGTCTAGATGGGTCAGCATACCTTGGATTCGCCTTTGCCTCTAGGCGTTCTGAACTTCGCTGGGAAACAACGTCGGGAAACTCGGATAGTGATGGCCGTTCATCAATACGAGTGGGAAGAAACGTCGTTGACGGACTGACAACCTGAATGTCCTTGTATGCTTAGGTAAGTCAGCCTGTGCCGGCACGTCGGACCAATGGCAGAAAGTGCATTCCAACATGCTCTTTCCTCCATGGCCTAGGAGACTAGGAGCACTGGGTGACTCGTGCTCAATTACGCAGGTACGTATCTCCTTTGTTGCAGCACAGCGGCACATACGGATACTTAACAGGTACCCACGTACCTGGGGTCCTTGGCTAGCAGCGCACTTCCCTCATTGCCTCAGTAATTACTCCGTAGTAGTCCGTACAAAGGCTCAAACCCCTGGGCACTCAATTAGCGGCTTCAGGGTGGTCGTAGATTCCACCATTAAAAGCCCCCGGCCGGATAAGAACCCACCCCTCCCCAGTGACTCCAGTGACTCCAGTGACAGTCGCGACATGAGATAGTTAGTGCCACCTATCCCTCCATCTGTCATATACGCTCATAGAGTTCTTGAACGCCAACCCATCTTTCTGCACCTACATCGACCACCCATTCTCCTACGCAACCTTGTGTGACCCGACAAGACTCATACGTTCACTCTTTCAAATAAAAGCCGCCACTGTCCGGGCAGAAACATCCTGTTGGCTGGACAAGAAGACTTCCGCCGATTATCGATCACTGGACGATTACATCACCCAAAGCTACAACAGCCTGCGCATTTAACATGGCAACTCCCAAGTTCAACTCGAAATCGCCGACTATACGGCGCATATGTAAGATGCCCCTCAATCATTGGACCCTTATCCATCTGACCGCCTCGAAGCCCGCTAATCAATCCAATCCAAATCAGTGCGCGAAGCCCAGGAACTCTCCAGCTCCCCATCACCAGATTATACGGCTACTCCACTAGAGTCAGATCTATTCGAATGGCACTTCACATTCCGCGGGCCACCCAACTCCTCCTATAGCGAAGGCATCTACCATGGCCGTATCGTGTTGCCGCCTACATATCCTCTTCGCCCGCCGAGTTTCCGCTTCCTTACACCCAGCGGCCGTTTCGAAACCAACCGGGAGATTTGTCTAAGTATCAGCGGCCACCATGAAGAGACGTGGCAACCTGCATGGGGCGTGAGAACGGCACTCGTCGCGTATGTTTAGCTCCTTTTTAGTCCCCATTAGAGTTGTCCCCCCCTTGCCTAACAAGATTACAGGTTGCGTAGCTTCATGGAGACGGACCCTCGAGGTCAGCTGGGCGGTCTCGAAACGAGCGATGCCGTGCGGAAGCGTCACGCAATGGCATCACACACATTCAAATGCCCAACCTGCGCAAAGTCAAATATCGAAATCATCCAGGAATGCGAAGAGTCGGCAAAGGCCAACTCCGACTCGCCAGATTCAGCGACTGAAGTCGAGATACCCTCCGAGTTGAAGCTTGGATACAAGGATGAGATGGCCGAGTCTAAGGGCTCAAAAGGAGAATCTACAGCAGCAGTGACGCCGGTGCCTCCGACACCAAGAACCGAACCAGTGGATACAGAGAGTGCCGAGCTGGCCGAGGGCTTTGTTCGTACGGCACCTGAGACAGTCGCGGCGGCCCCGAGTTCGGCGACAACATCACAATCACCAGCGACGGCGGCATCTTACCCTCCTGCGCGTCCAGGTCAAGGTATTATCGCCCCTACACGGACAGTATCGCTGCCTCCGGCCCCGAATCTTAGTGTGCGCCCCCAAGTCCCTCCTACCACCCGTGCGTATGATGAAGGCGTGCCGCTCTGGGTTGATCGAGCCATTGTCGTTCTTGTTGTGCTTTTGCTGGCCATGATCCTCAAGGTTTTGCTTGACTTTTAGTCATGATGTCCCTACAATTTGCTTTTGGGGATACAGCTCCCGTCACCCTGGATGAACGCTGGAACGCGAGGAATTATTTGCTTCACGGTTGCTGGCGTACGGTCAAGGTTGTTTAGACATTGTTACTTGCCCCATGTCCATGATATTTCACATCCGGATACTTTTAGACTTTGTTTTATTGATACAACGGCCATCGAGCCAAAACCCCGTGTACACAGCGGGTTGGAAAAGCTACTCCAACGTACTTATTGGCGCCGTAGCGAATGCTCTCACGCGCGTGCCGCCCTGACTACCCTGTTGATATCCTCCATGATTCGTTCACAAAACACTTCGCTGTTGTCCAACAAGCAGCCACCACCACTCATCCACGGTGAAACTTTTTCCATGGGTAATGCCCTTCAACACCCCGTACCGTTTTCCCCAGTCAAACACCATCTGTACCTCGAACTCTTGTAGATACGGTTTGAGTACGGCACAAACAGACGCTACATCCAAGGGCCCTCGGGTTGCGACAACGAATGCAACCGCACCAAGAACTTGTGCCCAACGATCATGGTTGAGCTCTCCAAAGAAATCAGACCAGAGTGGAACGGCCCGGTTATGATTCTCCCTCGGCGGCTTGCTATGCTTGGCTTTCTGCAAGAGGGCCAGATCTTCATTGTAAACGTACTTCTCTGTGGCCTCAATCTCGAGACCAAAATTGTAGTAGGACTTCGGGTATTTCCTACTTTCGTAGTTGCCGGGGTCGAACCCGAGAGGGATGTTCGGGACATCTACTGTGGTGACAGCAACTCTTCCGTAGGCCTGCAGATTCATCATGGCCATGACCTCGCCATCCCTCAAGACGTAAGGAATCCGGATCTTCTCGCCCCGTCGGAAGCTCACATCAAGTCGTTGCTTGAACTTGGCGGCGTCGATGTATTTGACCTCGTTAGTCCACTTGATGAACCTAGGCAAGAATGTCTCGGTGAGGCGGTAAGGGCGGCCTTCGAGTGCTTTGAGCTTGCTGTCCGTGATGACACCTTGACCTTGGAGGGTCTCGACCGCTTGCTCAAGAAGAGATTGGATGCGGTCCTCATCTCCGCCTCCGATACTCGCCATCTTCTTCCTGATATCTTGAGGCGCATATTTATCGCGATGCGTGTAGCAAAGGGAGCGCAACCACGACATGGCAATGGCCAGGTCCTCGGTGTCCCTAGACGGCGCTCCCTCATCCTTGTCCACGAGGGAAGTCGCGGGGCGTGAAGTGGCCGCCTCGAATCTGTTGAAGACAGACATCTGGAAGTTATAGTACTCGTCGCGCCAGTTGGTGACATCAGTCCAGGCTGAGCCGAGAGAGTAACCCCGTTCCAGAGCAGTCTTGTTGGCAGGTAATTCCTGCGAATCTTCAATCAGACCAGTTGTCCACTTGATAAGGCGCGGCCAGTCATAGTCGACATAGTTGTCGAAGTCGATGGGTGGGAATTCCTTGTTCTCGTAGGCTGAGATGAATTGAATCTGGAATCGCTCAGAAAGCTGACTGATGAAAGTACCCCGATCCTTTCGGGCTTTCGACCAGAATCGTCGCATGGCGCTGAGTGCCATGTCAGGAAACAAGGTCATCATGAGACCCCATTCTATAATTCGGTCGGCACCACCAAGAAGTGTTCTTGTGACGACGAATGCAGCTATCAAGATGGTTTCATTCGTCTCGTCAAGCCCGGCGTTCTTTCTAGATGCATCTCTCAGGTCCATATCTCTAGGCAACTGGATGAGCGTTCTGATCTTCAGGTCGATTCCGACCATGAGCTCCCTGGACTCAGTCCCAAGCTTGGTTTGTCGTCGCTTGCGCTTTCTTTGGCGACCAACCTCGCCGCCCCAGAGATGATCGGTTGCAGTCGTCCCTTGTTCCGCGATGTGGAGGCTAAACAACGCAGATTGACTGAGCTGGTTCACAGGATCCCAATCGAGTTGCGGGTTCTCCCATTCACTCGGGAGGTCATCGATGCCGTGGTTGATAAAGATGTAATCCGGGGCGATCGACTCTGCCAGAAGGAGCTTCATGCCCTCTGTTGACAGCTCCCAGTCAAAGCAGGCATCGACCTGATCGGAGAATTCGTAGAACTGGCTGCTGCTGGGAAGTTTGTCTCCAGGTCCACCCCGCCACTTGGTCATCTCGGAGAGGTTTTGAGGCAAGTTCTGCCGTAAGAACCAACGTGAATCGGGCATCCAGCCACTGATTGTCAGACTGCGATCCTCCGTCTCGAAGAACGTGCTCTCAGGTGCCGGCCAGGTACCGTTGCTGCCTTCGATAGTGTCGGCATGAGCGAAGGTTACGCTTAAATCGTCGCTACCCACGTCGGTCTTGGACGGGGCCGTGGGATATGTCGGTTTAGGGTCTGAGACATCAGGGAGAGGCGTGCGTTCGATGTCTTCTGGCATTTCATGTCCCAGATATGTGTTGGGACTGAGGAAGACGATACTTGGAGTACGACGACTCCGTCCATCTCCGATAGATTCAGAAGGCCCATCAATTGGTCCAGCTTGTCCTGTCATGAAGAATCGGAAGATGTCTCTCTTGCGTGTTCCATCAGGACCTTGATCTTCTGCATGGGCAATCTGTTCCCTTGTGACCATTCTTTTCCTGCGTTTCCTTGGGGTCTGGGACCCTTCAGGGGGCGTGTTGGGCCTCTCGTTGGCTGCTTTGTTGGCATAAAAGGGAGCATCAAGAACCTCCATCACCTGGACCGTCTTCCTACGGCTTGAGAAGACAGGCTGAGCATCATGCTTGTCGTCTTCGGGCAGTCCTGCCTTGGGCCTGAAGGTTGGCGGGATGTAAAGTCTAGGATGATGAGCCACAATGTTCGCTTTCATAGCCGCACCTGGCGGGGACGACGCTTCAATTCCAGATATTCGAATCAACTGGTAGTTTGCCATCATGCCTTTAGAATTTTTGAAGGCATGTGTACTGACAACCACTTGCTTCTTCTTTGCCAGCCTTGCCAATGCGTTCTTGTACAGTTGCTGGTCCGGAGCCTCTTCAGACGAGAACAGAGCTTCCCACGTAGCGATAGTAGCATACCAAAGGGACTGACCTCCGGGGAAGACACCGCCACTCGCATGTAGGATATACTGGAGTGCCCGTTCCATGGTTTGTGCTTTTGAAAGACCACTGCTGTCGGTGAGACTGGCCCTCAGTGCGTCTGCATGTGGCAGTGGGTTGGATTCGATGACTGGTGCTGACGCATCTCCTGAGCCAATTCGCTTCGGGCCTCCATCTGAATTTCGCTTGACGGAACCCGAGTACGAACCTCGTCGCCCCGATCGGTCAGGCGCCTTCGTTGGCGTCAAGGACTGCGTTGGATCGTTTCCGGCAGTGTCCGCGAGAGTCGTTCTGCGGCGTTCTGGGGAGACGAGCGTTCCCTTGGTTTTTGGTGTATCTTCTTCCCTTACTTTCCCGACTGCCACCTGCAGTGAGGCATGCTTCGTTGGCATGTCTCTTACAGCACCAGCAGGTTCATCAATGAGCCCGCTCATGGGCAGCTGTGCCGAGGATACCGGCGGCTTCAGCGTACTTGATGATTTTGACGCATTTCGATAACTGCTCGTGCCGCTTCTCGCGCCTTGTCTCGTCTCCTGTGACCCGCCAGATTCCCTCCCTCGATCGGTGCGTGGTCTTCTACTTCTGGAAGAAGTGGCCTCGAATGATTGTATACCCGCTGTGACAGCGTCATCTCCTCCTTCATTCCCGCCGAAGACGTTCTCCTGGCTTCTCTCATCGTCTAGAGTGTCATTGATGGCAGATAACCTCGAGTGCCGAGGTTTGATCTGTCGGGGAGGAATGACTGCTCGTTTCGGTAGAGTTGATCGTTTCGCAGTTGAGAAAAGCTTCTCGGGAGGCCCAATAAGCGGTGCCACATAATTTGGGTTGCAGGGTGTCTTTGATTTCTCGAGGTGATATTTGATACCAACGTCATTCTTCCAAGTTCCACCACATTTGTCGCATTTGAAAATCTTGGAAGAACGGCTGCGAGCAGAAGATTTCGCTGACCCTTTCTTGGCCCGACGGCCTCCACGCTTCACAGGCACGTCCTCGGCTAGTGTATCGTCCACTGCTTCGGCATTGGGCATCTCCGCATCTTGGTTCGAGTGTTGAGAACCCACGACAATCGACTGCTCATCCGGTGGGAGAGTTGCAGGGACTTCGACCTCCTCGGCTGTCGTATCCGGAGGCGTTGCTTCTTTGTTCGAAGATTTCTGAAGGTTGTCGTCTTGCCCAACAGCAGCATGAATGATTGACTTTCCTGTCCCATCGACGGGAGCATCTTGCGAGATGTATGGGACCGCGCCGGCTTCGGGGTGAGGACTGCTGTTGGAGAGTATTCTGGACAGCGCTGACGGATCTACTTTGAGTGTCACGATGTTTGATGCTCTTGCCGATTCAGCTGGTCGTCGCCTCGTACCGCGTCTGGTAGCCGTTCCGGAGGGGGTTGCAGAGTCTAGCTCCGAGCTCGCACTCGCTGTAAAGCTCGCGTCCTCTTCAGAAGAATCGTCGCCGGTCTGCTGTGGTAGCTTTATCCGCTTTGCCTGACGCAGTCCTGCCTCTTGAACCCCATTGACTCGCATAATATCCAAAGCTTCGACCTTCCTCTTAGTGATGGCATTGAGTGCCTTGCCAGAGACTCGAGTCAGAGCAGCTAAGCCACAGGCAACATAGGACAAGTCAGGGGTAACTGTTGGATCTGCAAAGTGACCTGCCAGCGTCTTTACATGGGCCCCATCAGCCAAAGATTGATTGTCGCCCATCTCTCCAGTGATGCTCTTGTCAGCAGCGGCGGCACCTAGGTCTTTTTGTTGGGCGCTTAGTGCAAAATAGCGATATTGCTGAGATTTACCTTTTCGGTGCATCTCGCTCGATACCTGGAATTGCCTGAGATGCGTAGGCTGCTGTGTCGGAAGAGAAATTGTCGAAGAAATGGAGGAGATATACCGCCGAAATGACGACCCCAGTGTCAAGTCTCCTAACTGCTTGTTCGACAGACCTGCGGAGCCGGCAGCGGAAATATTGTCGAATATTGTCGTAGTAAGGGGTTTGTCGGCTATCCAGTTGGAGCGTGGATTGATCCGTCTTCTGTTGAGAGTGCGACCAGGTCCAGGCTCTGGGCTTGAGGTGTCCATGGTGGCGGTTTTGCTTGCCGGGTCAGATCCAAGATCTCCATCATTCAGGCCATGGCCGGACTGGATGCTTTTCTGCTTCCCTGTAGCAAGATAGGCGGCCCAGTCCTCGTGTGTAAGATCGTGGTCGAATTTGAGGCAGTCCTTGAACAGTTTCCCAGATAACGTGGCGCCAACATACTGGATGGCACCAGTCTGGACGAAGAACCGACACGTCTTGGCGGCAACTTTCATCTGCCATCTCAGACCCAAAATACCCAGCTTGCACCGTAGGTCATGATATCTGATGATCCCAAAGGCCTTCACGATGGCCATGATTGTTTGGGCCAGAGATATGTAGTCGACCGATTCCCCATTCCACCTGCCACGCCACGAGACAGGCTCTAAGTCGCACGCCAGAGCGTTTCGGGACATGTCGACAGTCGTGTGCAGACTTGCGGTTGCTTTCAGGGGATCGATTGGAAGGGCCGGGGCGAAGCGCGTCAACCACATCTTGCTGGTCTTGGTTCCTCTGACGAGCGTCGTTCGTTTCGAAATATAACCCTTCTCTGCCAAAGCATCTGTTCTTTTGGGCAACGAGCGTTTGTCTTGGCCAACAAGCCGACCTAAATCGCCTTGCAAGATACCCTGCTGCTTAGTGGAGGCGATGCCTACCAAGGCCATCCACTCCAGTCTCGGGACTCTTCGGTAGTCGGGCGCATGTCCAGCAATTGATTCCCACATACGATCCTCGGAGACGTAGATACGAGGTCGCTTTCGAAGGCCGAGGGTCTTCGGTGTTGACTTGACGAGGTCTTTGGGCTCAGAATCTTTTGAAACCTCTTCTGCAGCACTTTCTGAGGTGCTGAGAGCTGCTGTTCCATCCTGAGAGTCTGGATCCGGCAAGGCGAGGATGTCAACCAGGGACACATGATTCCACTTCCGATTCGGTCCCACAGAGACGTCCTTCCTCCCTCTCAGCCAGTCCCAGGCCGTGGACCACAGCAGCTGGTTGGGTTCCTCGTCTGTTGGATGAGAGGACTCTGCTGGTGCATCTTGTCTGGGTCGGGTGTCCTTGTAAAAAGTGCCGAGTGAATCGAGTACATGCAATACGGTGCATCCTATCAACCGCTTGTCAGTGAGATGCGCCAGCTAGAACGTTTCCCAAGCCAAAGTTTTCGTGTTAACCGCATTACTGACTGAAGGGCATCGTCAAATGCCAGTCTTCCCAGTATGATTGCGCATACAGTATAATGGTGAATGGAGAGGGATGGCCAAGAATTTGAGAGTCCTTGTTCTCGTTTTCATGGAGCCTAGATTCACTCACCCAAGTCACCATAACATGAGATGTCAGTGATGACTGACTCTATCAGTCGCTCGAGGTCGCGGGACATTGTGCCGGCTTTTGGGAATTTGACATTCTCAGAGGAGCGATAGTTGAATGGAAAAAGTCATGCGAATATTGACGGCGAAGGTCGACGATGGAAAATCGAACCCAAGGTCCTTGGGTTGGCGTATGCGGTTGGTCGAAAATTCCTTGCAGGCTCTGGTTGGTTTTCCCCCGCTACGTTTGAGTCGGCCACAGAGATCTGGAAGGTGGAGGGGAAGGAAACCGCTGGAGTCAGGCCGCGTCGGGGGACCCCGCCGTGCCCGCCATAGTGGGACATTGCAGCGTTCATGTGGCTGTGGTGGCTGCCCGGAAGCCGAAATGGATCACTGTGACTTTCCTTGCACGTGATGATGACATAATATCTGTGTTCGCACGGACGTGGTTTGGCGCAGCCAGTCGCCCGTCAGAAGTTCTTGGACAAGAGGTTCGTAGTGAGTAGACTAGATATCTCATCTTGTATCACATCTCAAGTAGATAAGGTAGACGGAAAACTACATCAGACTTGTTCTCGGTGAACTTTGCATCTGAGTCTTTATTACTACTAGTACTGGGTATCTTGAGATTTAGCAGCGGCAAGCTTAGCCATCTTTTCCTCCTGTTGTTTCCTGTAAGCCAAGAGAAATGCGTCTCTGGTCTGCTGGAGCTCTTCTCGTCTTCTCAGACTACCAGCGGACTTTGGCACATTAGAGACGTCAACGGCCGCACCACGCACCAGCAGCTTGTCTCTACCGGCCTTGTGAAGCTCTGGCGGAGCCTGCGCGACATCATGAAGCCCTACCTTGGCTTCCGCGCGCATCTTCTTGAGCACCGCCCAAGGATCTTCTTCGCGGTCTGCGCCCTTGTTCTTCTTGCCCTTTTTACCCTTCTTCTTGTCCTGTCCAGGTTCGTAGAAAGCCTTTGAAGTCTGTCCGAAGTTGCCAAAGGTACCGCCGTTGATCTCTTCATCTAGCTCGCGCTCAGCGACCTCCTCGAGATCCTCTTCTCTCTTTTCTTGAATCTTCCGCTCTTCCTCACGCCACTGGTCGTATAGCTTGTGCATTTTCTTCTCCTTCCGCGTCCTGACGGTCTTGAGACCAAGAGGATCCTTTCCACCCCTCTCAGTCTTGTTGACAAGGTTCGCCAGAGGTAGGGCTGCGTTGACACGGGCAGCGAAGTCGGACATCTTCTCACCCGGCCGGATCGTGGGCACCTCTGGCTTCGCTGTGTCCTCAATCTTGGTCTCGTTCTGCGCGGCTGCCGCAGCTTTCTTGGCTGCCTTCTTTTTTTGCGCTATCGTCTCGCCATTGTCTAGGCCAGATCGTTGTCTCCTGCCCGACGCCAACGACATGATGCGCTTGAACGCTCTCGGAGCATCGTCATCTTTGCTGCCACCTTTTCTCTTCTTGGAAACGCCATCGTTCTCGGTCTTTGGGTTCTTGCCGTTCTTTCCATTCTTGGCGTTTTTCGCATTGTTCGCTTGAGCTTTTCGACTTCGCAGTTGAACGGGAAGCGGCCTTGCGATCTGTGATGGTGGGAGATCAAATCTGTGTGAACCCGGTTAGTGTAGGCTACGGCGACATCCTAGGCGATCAGAACTTACGCCGAGGGATCTTGTTCCCTCCTGGTATGTTTGTGAGGCATTGCGAATGATTTCACTGGGTGTGTTGTTGAGCGATTCAGTACAGAAACACGCACCCCTCTGCTCCAAAGTTTCGTGGTTGCAGGTGAGGCGGCATGATACACGGGCTCGAGGGACCGATGGAAATTTTTGCATTATGTCAGCGACGATAAGAAGCGGGTCATCCGATAAGAAGTGAGGCACCTTTTTTCCCTTTTCTCTTTCCATTGTCCCGCTCCTTGAAACCAACTCCCTGTCATGCCAGTAGGTACGTACCGTAATGCAGCTGCAGGGGTCTCCACGCCGGAAGACCCCTAGGGCCGATCCACCTTGGACAGATCACACGCGGGAATCCCACAATCTGGCATCTTGGCACCTGATCAATGACAGTTCTGCAGCACATGGGCTGGCTTCACCCGGTCATAGGCACAAAAACTTTGCTCGAGGTTGAGGCGCCCGCCCTGCATGCTTCGCTGATCATCTGTAGATTTTTCTTTGCCAAGCAAGTCGTTGCCAAGTACGGCTCGGTAGACTCAGACAGTTGGCAGTGTGGTCAATCACCTTACCCACGGAGAAAAACACCGTGTAAGCGACGCGGAAGGATGGTGGGACCTGGAGCCGGCATCTAAGCCGAAGCACGTTGAAATTAAAAGCTTGTTTTCTCAAGCAAGACGGCTGTGCTTGCCAATTACTAGGTACGGTTCCTTATGGGAAGTACACTAGAACATCCCTTTTGATGAACACTAGGCTTGTCGAAGCACATACGGGCATACATGGGCAGTGTTCCTCATTGCCGCCTCGATGAGTGCCTCAGTGATGACCGCCTCATGTTAGCGGAGGAGCGCAGCGGTCACGGAGACGCCGCCATGACCAGACAATGGGTGGCGGAGAGAGACGAAGACATGCTATGCCACAGACCAGATCAACATGAGGCGGTAATTGCAAGGTGGAAGGCACAACTGTTACGTCCCAAGTTGGCGAAAGAAACTCTAGGAAAAAAGGGGGAGGTATTTGCACCCGAGTCCGTCCCACCGAACAGACCCGACGGACTCTAGATTCCAGATTCTAGGATTCAGACTTCAGACTTAAGACTCGGAGAAGTGCGTGTTTCGCTTGTCGGGGTTGTCGAGGTGCGGCTGGAGTGAGGAGAACAAAGTCAATTACTGGCCGTCTGATTATATGACACTTCAACTCGTTTTCGGACGTGTCTCAGTATCGACGGCTGATGAATTGCATACGTAGACGATTGCCCTGAGCTTTCTACCATTTTCATTGCTTTTTTTTCACGGCTTGATGTCGGCACCGGCCTGGGTGTTCATCAGTCAGTCACCCCATGTTCAGGTCAAGTCAGAAACACTCCCCGCAGACATTACTGATGGACGGTTGGTTGGTGTTTCTGGTTTTGGGCGGGAAACGGAGGCTCGGACGTGCCGCCGTCCGCGCGACCCATGGAAAAGTCCACAGCGATCAGTCTCGCTCTGGGGCAATGGGTCCATGGCCAACACGAGTGTGGCTGAAGTACTGACAGATAGGTAGCAGCTGGACTTGTCCAAATGTCTTGCCTTCGGCTCAAGGTGTGGTGGCCGACCGTAGTTTCTTCACAAGCAAGCAAAAAGCTACCCCGGCTTGCCACGCTACCTTGGTGCTTGCCTTAAAGTAAAGTCCATATGTAGGCTGACAGGTTGGTGGGATGTCATCAACCAAGTTAGCCCACGAGGAAACGAGGGCATTTGTAATAGGTTGTTCTGGTCTGGCCCTAGGATTATGGAGATACCTAGCGCAGGATCTTGTCCGGTCTAGGACCAGCGCGGACTCCTCAGACCGTATGTAGGAACCTCTCGGGAGCGGCACTGGGGCTCTGTGTTAAGGTATGAATGATGCGCGTGACATAGATAGTACGCCGCAAAGGCAAATAGTGTGAGAGGGATTTTAATGTAACTAGCTGGTTTCTCATGGATGTTGAGTGGGAAGTTAATCCGCCTATCAACTGCGCCACGTGCCTGAAAGAGTATGGCTTGCTGCTCACCAGTCGAGGGCGCGTGAAGAGGAGCAGAGGCGGCACGCCAGACGAGAGAGAGAGAGAGAGAGAGAGAGAATGAGGAGGAGGAGGAGGAGGAGGAGGAGGAGGGATACCTATTGGCACGACTGGAAGAGAGGGGTTTGCGAGGTAGGTAGAGTGAGGCCCAGAACATGGAGCACGCCGTCTCTAAGCCGGTACTGGCTTAGCACGGACCATCTCAGCGTTGAGGAAGTGAAAGTCCAGTCCAGTCTCGCAAGGTGCCACGGTGCCTGGGTTCAAACTTCAATGTATCCATCTGCGGGGAGATGCCACGGCGGGGAACATGACTTCTCCACGGAGGTAAGTATTTACGCTAATTGTCTCGGTCTACAGATACAAGATACTTCGTACACACGCCCGGAAGAATAAAGTACCTTTTGTACTAAGGCGCTCCACCAAGGTACCTTACCTAGGTGCAGCAGTAGCCACAGCAGCTTGCACGACGGTCATTGACCACTGAGAAGTTCGTATCGGAGACAGAAGGCGCAGCGACTGGCTTGGATTGGAGGTCCATGGCCGGATCCCCTACGCTCTCTCTTTCTCTCCAAATTCTTTTTTTGTAATACGGGGCACTTTCTAGGTGTCAGGTCCTTCCCCTCCGCTCAGCTGGAGGATCGCTGCTGTCTCCTCTGCCAAGCCTCCAACCAATCTCCAAGTATCTCTTCTCTGCGCCTTCCATCCTCATTACTCTCTGAACTTCCGCACTGACTTTGCCTTGGCACCTCATGTTTCCCTTGTGCCTCGTCTGCAGAGGCAAGAAGTGTCGAGGGAAGCGGCTGGGATGAGGGGTCTCAGGGTCTGGACAAAGTATCTGTACCCACGACCTAATCCAGGAGGGGGCCGGAAGCAACTACAAGGTACCTGGACCTCGGGAACGCCAAAGGGCAAGGATTTCCCCGTCGGCCAGACCCTCGTCGACTCTCTTTCGCCATTCGACTGAGGCATTCCGACAAGACAGGTTTGGTTTGAGAGAGGCATGCCGAATAACCTTAGTTGTTGGCCTCTTGTTATGCGACTAACGATAATGGGAACATGGTGCGCATTTCCACTGGTCACAGAGTCATCGCCCATGCGCTACCTCGACACGCTACTTCCATAGTCGACACTCGACACTAGACCCCGGAACTGAGAATACCTAGTCTCTCACTCTCGCTCTCACTCATACACTCTCTCTATCTCTTGGCCTCACTTTCTTGCCCTGCCTTTTTACCGTGACATGGCCGTCGTCGTCGTCACTCGTCTTGGCCATAATGAATGACTATGCTTGCTCTGTGGCCTATGACCGTGCATATAACCACCGACCTGACACGATACATATCTCTGCTGCCTGGCCAAGGCGATCCACACATTCAGACACCGTTGTCCCTGAAACCCATGATCACATATCTATTCTTCGTTACACTGATTGACCCTGGGCCTGAACCAACACCCCCCCCTTTCGCCAGGGTAACAAACACAAACAAAACAGGCGCCAGAAACACTCCCTCGGGTCCCGCGCCCCCCCACCGTCTTGGGGCTAGCTAAGCTCATGATAGACTTTCTTAGTCTTAGTCCCTTTTACGGATGTGGGACAGGACAGGACATGGATGGCTTGGAAATGCTTGAATACGCCGCCCACTGACTAGCATTAGTCCCCTTTCTCCCCAGCCAAGTTGAAGTACCTACCTTACAAAGTAGCGTTTGGCATGGAAGCCATGTACCGCTAATGCTGCATTGTTGCTGCTGCTGCCGTCGATGCTGCTGCTCATGAACCACCCAGTCATTCACACACACTCTCGTGCTCACACACAACTGGAGACATCACATCTTCTGGAACCATATGCCAGACACTAGACCCGTGTCCCATCCACGGCACGGCGTATTGTCCATTTCCTCTCGGTCACTCACCCACTCCTTCATTCAGCTCACTGACTCTCTCATTCTCCTTCTTCCCCTAGCCCCCGTTCCTCCGACTTTCCTGTGTGCCTCACTGTCTCTCCATCTCGCTCTCAGACCCTCTCAGCTCTTCCCAAAGTCTGTTCTCAACCGCCGTCCTTACCCCAGCATCCATCCCTAACCATGCTCGGATCTACTTGCCGTTTTAACCTTTACATCCCTACCCCATTCCGCCCTGTCCTTACCTCGCCCTGAGGTACCCGGCCTTACCTTACCTTACCTTGCGGTGATCTTTAGCTCCAGTGTCCCCTCTTAAAGCAGGCAGCAAGCCAAGTCAACAGCTGCTTTATTAGATCCCGCTATATTTGGCATGTCTCTCCCGCAGTTCTTCACTCTTCGCCTCGTCCGCAAACGTCCAGACTTGTTCGGTCTCGCCTTTGTTGCTATCCTCTTTGTGCACCTTACACTATTGGCAGTACCTCACACTCCATACTCATCTGGCTTCCTGCCTCGAATTGTCGTACACCTTACCTGACGGACTTGAAAAACGTCTTGCTATACAATAACACTGCCGCAACCCGGACTTACATTCAACAATCCCTCGAAATTCGCCACGATATGTTCTAGAGATAAAGAGCAACAATCCGATACCCTCTTCCTCTCTTCTTCTTCTCTCTGGGCAGGCGTCTCGGTCTCCATCCTAAGGTAGCCAACTATTGTCCGATAATATTACCTGGAGCATAAGACGTATTTCAGAATGTCTAGCCCCAAGAGCGCCAGCACCGACGCAGTTCGCGATCGCTTCCGTCAATTCTGGTCGCGAAACAGCAACACCATACCTCGTTACAGAGACTCTCCCGAAGCATACGCCGCGAGTGACAGCGAGATCGAAGTCCCGCCAACACCAGCCGAGAGTTTCACTTCTGAGGATGGATTGCTTCCTCCCGCGTACATGATTCCGAAGCCATGGACACGGAAACGTTCCTTTATCATGTGTGGCGCCGTTTGGTTGGCCATGCTGTAAGTGTTGCGATCAAGTAGGACTATTTCCCCCGGCTAATTTGGACCTCAGCTTGATATTTGTTCTCCTGAACCTGGTACTATTCGTAGCCCGCGAGGTCTGGGACACGGCATCCGAGCAGGTCGAAAGTGCGAGCATCGTTGAACCAATTCCATGCCACTCTCATAACGATTATTGGAGAAGAAGGCCCATCTACGACGCTCTCCAAGCTGGATGCATTGGCATTGAGGCGGATGTGTGGCTCCTCGACACCGAATTATTTGTCGGCCACAACAAGTGGTCTCTGCGCCAAAAGAACACCTTCACAAGCCTTTACGTAGACCCTCTCGTCCGTCTGCTTGAGGAACGGAATGCGGACCTTGGAAATATCACAGAGGAATCACCGCGAGGCATTTATGAGTCAAGCCCAGACCAAACCATGGTCCTCCTCGTGGACTTGAAGACGAGCGGCCCGGAGACCTGGCCGGAGGTGGTGCGTCAGCTGGAGCCCTTGCGCGAGCGAGGCTGGCTGAGCAAAGTCATCGATGGCAAGGTTCACTACGGGCCTATCACCGTCGTCGGAACTGGCAACACTCCTTTCGACATGGTCGTCGAAAATTCAACCTACAGAGACACGTTCTTTGACGCACCTCTTCTCAACCTAAACCAGCATAATTTCGATCTGACCAACTCTTTTTACACGAGCGTGTCGTTCAAGAAGGCGCTCGGCACTGTTTGGTTTGGCGACTTGTCGAAGGGCCAGATGACGAAATTGAGAGCACAAATCAAGGAGGCCCATTCTCGCGGCTTGATGGTACGGTACTGGGATCTCCCAGCATGGCCAATCAGCATCAGAAATCACGTATGGGACGTGCTCGTTCAAGAGGGCGTTGATATCCTGAACGTGGACGATCTCAAAGGCGCCAGAAGAGAATGGGATCTCAAGGGGTGGAAACGGCTAACCGGCAACTCCACGATACCAGCCTAACCGGATAGGTCCTGTGCACAATGCTGTACAGAGAGACATGACCATCACCTACCATCTGGCCCCGGCCAATTATGACAACGCATAATAGCATGAGCTCCTCCAGCGGCACCCCTCTCTGGAGTCGAAGCCACGCTAGCCAGTCGAAACCAATTGGAATGTTGGCGGGAGCATTCTCCCTGCTGCAACGGAATGCTGCTCCTCGGAGCTGTGGCACTCGACATTGGGGGCATATGATTTGGATGTCGCATTCAATCTCGATTGCTTCTTGAACGTCGGCCCCTGAACCATCGGCCACCGTACAATGCTACCAGAAATCGACATGAGCAATCGTCTACATTAACATCCTCCTCGGACAGGATGACTTCTCCGTACACGGTCACCAATCGCGACTACCTTCGGGTAGTCTTATCTTCACGAGATGGCACACTTCGAAGCGTTGGACACTTTGAGTGTGTCCACAAGTAGGAGATATCCATGTTGCAAAGTTGTTGTAAACAGAGAAAAGAGCGTGCAAGATATGAACGTAGTAGTAATCCAACAACACATACAATGGGATGGCGCGAATTGCGTCTAATCAACGCAACGCTTGTATGGGGAACCGGGCGACGACAGCCGAGCTCACCGATCCCGATCCGTGCCAAGACTCGGATGCGATGGCTTCGCAAGTCGCCGCCCGGCTACCGCCGTGTAGGCCGGCCGGCATTGCGCAATTAGTTAAATAAAAGCTACTAGAATACAAAGGCTATTAGTCATCACCTCCGGTCGAGATTTGCAGGCGATTTATGGTGCATCGGGTTTTGCCTTTAAAGCCGAAATACCGTGTTTTCTCCGGCGGGGAGGCCTCGGCAACAGCGAACAGGAACGACGCAACTTAGACTGATGTTTCTCTTAGCTCACGACCCCGCAATGTCCATGGACGATCTAAATGCATGACGTCCGGATGAAATACCCGCCCGCAATACCACATCTTGAAGATTTAAGGCAGGCGTTCGTCGACATTTCTTCCTTTGATTCAGACGTATATATGTGCACATACAAGGACTCAAAGTAGATATCATACCCTATCTCATCCCATCTCATCGGGTCTCGATTAGACGAACTCTCTTCCGAACTCTATCCTTGGCATTGGTTTCATCACATTTAATCCCACAACCAACACTTCAGTCTATCCTTCAAAATGTCCGGACAGCTCGCAAGCCTCGATGTGAGTAGCGGAATCAAATACCAGGGACATTGACTCCCGACGGCGACGAAAGACCCTCGATCACTAACCACGAGCCAACTAGCCCTCCATGGCGGATCGTCTCCCCCCTCACTCCCAGGTCCTCTTCGATGCCAAGGCGTCAGCCGGGCTCACATTTGAGGAGATTGCCAAGCAGCTAGGCCGAAGCGAAGTTGCCATTGCGGGCATCTTCTACGGTCAGGTCCAGGCCTCGGAAGAGGATGTCCAGAAGCTATCTGAGCTCCTCGGAATCCAGACTGCGAACCTGAAGCAGCTGAACAACTACCCCGACCGCGGCCGCGCCGGGCCCATGCCGCCTGTCGAGCCGCTCATCTACCGCCTGTACGAGATTGTGCAAAACTACGGATACGCTTACAAGGCTGTCATGAACGAGAAGTTTGGCGACGGCATTATGAGTGCGATTTGCTTCAACACCAAGGTCGAGAAGGAGATTGACGAGGCGGGAAGCCCGTGGGTTGTCATCACCCTCAAGGGCAAATGGTACGTGCAGATTGTTGTTTCTTGTACTAAGTGCTCCTTGACTTTGAACGAGAAGACTAATTTGGTTTGATAGGCTTCCCTTCACCCGGTTCTAAGAGAGCCGCGCAGTTCTTGGATACAGCAAAGAGAAGCGTCGAATGAGCAACGTGAACAGGATTTCCTGTCATCACGCCTGTCGTCAGATGGTGGATTGGAAGCGAGGAGTTTTGGCTTAGTGGCAATGTACATAAAAAAAGGGTGGCAGTCATCCGATTCCCCAAGGTAGTAAATCTACAGACACGCGACTGTGTTACTTCGAGCTTCGTTCGTGATGGCATACCTGCGGCCGCAGGGATGGTTTCTCCTGCCACTAGTCTTGTATCCGATGCGAGGTCAAGACTCGTACTAGACAAGTGACACGACTGTTCTTTCACGTTACAGGTCCAGATCCATATGGAACATCGCATGCCTCCCTTTTCTGAAATTATCCTTCGTCCCGGTCACTCAAGTCACTGGGAAACAGCAACAGCCACCAGAAGAGTACACCTAAACGGAAGAAAAACTCACTTTCCAGAGGGTGGCAGGCACAAGTTTAATGTTACGATCCAGAAAGCTGTACAGTTCTGAAGACCAACCGTTGGTCGGTATAAAGGAGACTTGTTCAGTGTCAGCTGTTCAGGGAATGAAAGCCAGGTGTTTCTTGCTCAAAGGACTTGTGTTGGCACAACCTCGAGGCGCGTCTTTCTTTTGAACTCCTTTGTATATATTTCATGTGACCCCTAGTCCCTGACACCGTTCCCCCGCGCCATACCCGCCCGGAAGAGGGATCACACAGCCCATCTTGGTTGCGCTCGACTGCAGGCTTGGCAGATCTCCTGAACTCCAGTCAGCATATCTGCCCAAAGACAGTGAGATGCTCTGGATCCTTATTCCCTCATCCTGTGTGACATATGTTGCCACTGTCTCGCGCATATCAAAGGTCCTGTAAGACTCGAAGACTACATTCTGTAGTCCAGAAAAGGAGGTGACGTCTTTCGGTGTGTCGCTGTGTTGAACTCGGCGAAGGCTATGTTCTGGTATTCACGCCGTATTATCGCCAACAACATTAAACCGAATGTCCATGAGTGTTTCCGGCCACTTGGTCAGAGAGCCCGTGTTCTTCAAACAATCCTTGGGCTCTCATGCTTGAGTCGAGGCTCTTGGTCACGTCTCGAACAACTTCTTTATTCGCTACAATGTGGTTAGTAGCTGTAGGAACACTTTTAACACACTGTCCAACACAGTCGATGGAGCTGGATAGCACTATTACTCCAGACGAGAAGAGTTGCTGGTATAAAAAAGCAAATGGAATGCCCTCGAGAATACGACGTGTTGCGTTCATCTCTACAATACAGACTGAATTCCGCATTGATCACACACCATACTCTACCGAAGAAACAAACGAGCTAAACTTGAATACCGAGCCAAGATGCACTCTCAACCAATTCCAAACGCCCGAGCAGCTGAAGCGGAGACCCGTACCGACGGTTGCAAAATCGACGTCAACCCCAAATTTGGCACCAATGGCAGCGACCAAATTCCCTCGACTCCTCAATGAAGATAGAGGCTATAGAGCCGGGCCGGTCTGGCAACGATGAGGTGACTTTCAATATGTGCGTCATATTGTTAGACAGGAAACAACAAGTGTCCCTCGTCATGAACAGCTCGGGCTTCACTCCTCTGTCTTCAACATACCGCAATCTAGTCTTCGTCCTTGATTTCCGACACACGAGTTAAGCATGAAAATTTCGCGCCCGAATTCCAGTCAAAACGACCATGAGCCTGCCAACCCGACAACTTGGATATGCTTGGAAGCATGATTCTTTTTCTCAAGCTCCTTGGTCAACAAGCTGTCCAGCACTGCTTTCCACCACAAGGCGTGAACTATGTAGAGGATAGCAGTCACGAATTTTATTGGAAGCAAATACAGACCGTTCGATTCTTCAGCAGTTTCCATCTTTCCGAGCATCTCTTAGGAATTGTCCCGTTCACTTCAACTATTAGTTTTCTCTAGTCGCAGCCACCATGCGGTCTCAAGTCATACATTAAATATGTGGTCTACATTGCAGACATAGATAACAAGACTCACAGTACTCGGGACCCATGGGCATAACTCACTGAGAATAAAAATACAGTCTGCCATCAATGCTGGCCTCACTGGAGTAGAAGAACATGATGCAAAAAAAATCAAAAACATACAACACCAGGTATTCGCTGGTCGTCACCGACCCAACTACTAATCCGGCCCTCATTGGCTTATCTATGGGAGAGCGGACGGGATCCCGAGTTTTCCAATGGGTATGGTCGTATGTGCTAGGGTCAGGATGCAAAGTTGTCTACATACCCAGAAAATCTGTGGGTAACAACCTCTTTTCGGAACGTCCGAGCGCCTCGACACTGGAGAATGCTGCTTCATTCTCTATTCGAGTGGTCGCTATGTGTTGTTGATTTGTGGTATCAAGGGGGTTGAATTGGCGGCAGACTTGTGAAGTTTCTCTCCATCTGTGTCTCGTCTCGTTGTGAACCTTTGTAGTGGGATCAAGGCGATGTTGAAAACTCCGAGAATGCGCTTTGAGAAAAGGTTGACCAATGGCGGCTTACCAAGCCGGGGGCCATACCCACTATGGAGAATGACCCCACCATCACGCTTGACCGCCTCAACTGAGTGGATCACCAAAGCGGCAGAATTATTTTCAATCGACATTTTTTCTGAGGACCCTCCCCACGTTAACGCAACCCGCCTGACAAGAGTGTTGAACCAGCATACTTTTGCGACCACCCCAATATCAGTGCACTTCAGATATTGACCGCAGACATGGTTACCAAATCCAAACTCAAGCTTGCGCTCGCGGCCGAGAAGGGCATCGACCTCCGCAAGGTCAAGGAAGAGCGCAAGATCAAGGCGAAGCACCGCGAAACCGCCAAGGAGCAGGAGAAGAAGAAAAAGAAGAACAAGGGCGTCGAAGAGGATGACGAGGACGAGGAGATGGAAGACGAGGAGGAAGAGGATGATGCCTCTGTCATCTCTATTGAGGGTGGCATCACTTTGAACGCAGACTTTGAGGATGCCGACTCAGACTCCGAGGATGATGAGGAAGATGAGGAAGACGAAGAAGACAAGGTACGTGCTGCTTGCACCTCGCACAAACCCTGACCCTCCTCAAATGCTTGCTGACACTCAATCTACAGCTCGACATCGAAGCATTGGACGACACAGATAGTGACAGCGACTCCGATATCGAGATGGAAGCAAAGATCGAGCGCCCATCCAAGAAGGCCAAGACACCAACAGAAATCGTAGAGAAGGACGGCGAATCAGATGACGAGGAGGACTCAGAGGTTGATCCCGAAGAGGACGACGTTCCCATGTCGGATCTCGAAGGCGACGACGAAGACCTAGAGGACATTATCCCCCACACCAAGCTCACCATCAACAACAAGACCGCCCTCCTGGCCTGCCTGAAACGCATCCAGATCGACACCTCCTCCACAGCCTCCTTCACATCGCACATGACCGTCGTCTCCTCCAAACCCACCAACGAGGCCGTCCCCGACGCCCAAGATGATCTTCAGCGCGAGCTCGCTCTGCTCTCGCAGTCTCTCGAGGCCGCGCGCAAGGGCCGCTCGCTCCTGATCAAGGAGGGCACCCCGTTTTCCCGCCCCAAGGACTACTTTGCGGAGATGGTCAAGGACGACGGTCAGATGGAGAAGGTCAAGGCCAAGCTTATCGACGAGGCCAGCTCCAAGAAGGCCGCCGCCGAGGCGAGAAAGCTCAGAGACCTCAAGAAGTTTGGCAAGCAGGTGCAAGTCGCCAAGTTGCAGGAGCGCCAAAAGGCCAAGAAGGATACGCTCGACAAGATCAAGACACTCAAGAGGAGTAAGTTACCGCCCTGATGCTGCTAGCTGATTGAGTACCCATCACAGTACGAACCGATCACTAACTATCCTGTCTAGAACGTCAAGAAAACTCTTCCAACCTCGACACGCGCGAGGCCGACCTCTTCGACGTCGGCGTCGACAACGAGATCAAGAGCCACACCAACTCGGACGGCAAGCGCGGCGGTCGCGACGGCGGCCGATCCGGCAGCGGCGTCAACGCCAAGCGGTCCAAGAAGAACGAAAAGTACGGCTTCGGCGGGAAGAAGCGCCACGCAAAGTCGGGCGACGCCGTGAGCTCCGGCGACCTCACCGGGTTCAACGCCAAGCGCATGAAGGGCGGCGTCGGCAAGAAGCCCCAGCAGCGGCCGGGCAAGAACAGGAGAAAGGCCATGAATAAGTAAACGGGGAAAAAGAGAAATCACTGTCTTCTGTAGCGTAAAAATGGGGGATGGGGGAGGGAGGGGACTGGAAGGAGGAGAGTCTGTAAACCAAAAGCTAGAACGGAGGAGCGAAATACCCTTCGAGTTCGATGGTAATCCACAAACGAAATGATCCAATTAGCTGCCCCCCTGGTGACCGTCGATATCCAACGGGAACATCAAATGCCGGTTTCTTTCTTCTTGATATACAATGTTCATTAAAAGCCTGGCAATCCTTCAACTCTGGTCCACGCCGGTCTACGTCTGCGCCTCCGTATCTCTAAAGGGGGCAAATAATGTATTAAGAAAATGCAAAAATCACAATTGCATATCCAATTATCAGACCATTGCAGCATCTACTAATCTCTGTTGAACACCACCATTCTGAGATAAACACATTGGGTCTAGTTGTACTCCGTATACACATTGTCTGAGGTAGATCAAGAAAGTTCAAATTAGCTTCGTCCCAATTCCATGTGGACGGTACGCGATAAACTTTCTCGCGCGCCATGTATGCCGAAGGTTCAGCCCTGACGGCTTTGAATCAACTTCTCGTCGCAAGAGGCGTGGCATTGTACGTCATCACCACCTCCCATTGGCAAGCTATGTGCACAACGAGGTGGACAGTGGGTTTGGAAGACCGCATAAATTCTGACATTATAGTGGTTGATCTCTCATAACAATACGTACATCATCCTCGCTTGCTACTCGGAATATGTACTCCTGGAGCATTGCGCAAAGCTTTCCCGTCTGCCCGTGCTATCCTAGTTCAGAGGGATTGGCATAATAACCCTGTAGGATACTATGCTGCCGTCCATGACAGGCGGCTTATCCATTCTCTCAATCCAAGTGAGCCGCAACTGTAACCATCATCTTCATCCCCGCGGGCTTCACCAGCCCATCAGCCCAAGACCAAGAAAATGTAAATCCGTGATAAAAAGACCGTCTCCACGCCGCAGTGATACTTCCGCGGGACACAATTTTAGTAGTTTTGAATGCTGCGTGAGCTGCCTTCGACAATTTGTGGAATGCGTGTCCTGCCATCCAAATTTTCTCGAGGGGGCGTCTGCTACGTTGATGGCCTGTGGAGTAACACGACGTTGGCAGATTGAAGCCCATCGACCTCGACCACCGTGGGGAAGGTATGGATGCAGTCGGAGAGAATGGTGCCTTGCCGATGACTGGAATAGTCTCTTCGGTAGAGGGCATGCGAGGTTGAGTAAAAACTGAGGATATATCGTCCTGGAATAAGGGGAGTCATGCCTTCACCATAAATGGCAAGCACCCAATGCCGGACCTGAATATGCTGCTGAAAGACCAGTGGTATCGAGGGAAACGCCATGCATTGGAAAAAACGCTGTGCTGTGCAATGCTGTGCCACCTGCAGGCGGCAAAGAATCCGTATTATAAACATTGCGCCTCCGAAGGCGCTTTCCGGGGTATAGTCGAACGTTGTAGAGCACCGAGCGGTATGGATCACTGCGTCGCGGCCACGCACCAGTGGCGATGGAAGGCCCACGCACTCTTTTGACACTCCTTGCTGCAGTACTTGGTGCGGCGGCAGCGGCGGCACTTGGCGAATTGGCGGGTGAACTCTTCCCACTTGCCGCACTGGTAGTATGCACACTGACGGATGCCACCGCGGGTATCATCCTTGCGGCACAGATTTCTCATGACGACGCCAGCCCAGTATTGCATATCTGTGCTGTGGTGCCGGACTGTGAACTTCTCGACCAGGGGAAAGATATTGAAGTCGTTGGGCAGCAAGAACTCCTCCTCCAGCTCTTCCTCTTCAATCTGCTCCTTAGGAGCATCCTCGCCGTCCAGGTAGCGGAGTTCTTTTCCAATCTTGAGCCTTGGGACCAAGTGGCTCTTTTGGAAATACGACCGCAGGCCACAGTACTTAGAGACATATGCAAGCAACTGAAGGGACATCAAGACGTCTTCTTCACGCGGCATAGCGGCAAGCATCTGGGCGTTGGGGACAAATTGTCGGTCGAGGAGATACCGAGGGACGCTGGCGTTGGGGATGGCCGGCTGAGGAGGTGTAACCATGGTAGGTCGATTCGGCGACAAACCGATGGCAGGCACAGGGGCTGGCGTCGTAGCAGCAGTGTTGCTAGTTTCCACAGGACCGCGGTGTGTGATGTTGAAGGCTCCAGTATCCTGAGTTTCTGACACAGTTGGGGTATTCAGATCCATTGTGGTAGAGCCAGCCAGGATACTATCACCCTCTTCCATTGTGATGTCTTGAATGTTTACGGCAGACTGAATCTCAGTGCCAGTGCCTGACATTTCAGCATCGGGGGACTCGTCGGAAGGCGCGTCATCTCCAACCAAGTCATCCGAGTCGACGGTAGAGTTTTGGTGACGGATGGAAGGGCGGCGACGAGAGCGGTTTGTTGGTGCAAGTCCCGAAGTAGGCCGGACGGTAGGAGAGCGCATCTGCGGAGGCGGCAGGGGAGTTGTCGGGGAAGACGGTTGCGAGACCAAATTTGCGTTGCCAAAAGTCATCATCGATGCAAGACGGTCAGCATCGCGTACAGGCCTGACAAAACCCTCCATGGTCTCAGTGGCAGGCACGGCGGGTGCCAACGGCTGAACGACCTGACGAGAGGGAGATGCAACGGCATGGCGAGCCTCAGCGGCACGATAGTGGTGGTGGTGGTGATGATGGTGACGATGGGCTGGGAATGCAGGTCGCTCGGCGGAGGACGCCAGCGGGTACTGGGGTGGAGTAGGTGTGGACTCGGTGTTTTGTTGATCGACTGCGGAGCTCGAGGATGAGGAGCCTGCGTACGTCGCAGAAACGTCGATGGAGGGAGGAGGAGCCTGGCGTCTGGAGGCCCTCTGATCAACTTCTGTTCGGCTGGATCTATTGGTGAAGGATGGAGCCTTGTGTACGCTGCGGTGTTCGTGGCTCCTGTGACGGTGGTGGTGATCTTTGCTCTTGTCGTCCGACTTATCTCTGCACTTCTCGGTGACTTTAATGTAGTTATCGAGAATGGTAGCAATGACGGGGACCATGTCAGCCTCGACAACCCTGGTGCGGACGTTCTCAGTGCCCCTGACACCAATGTTGACGACGCACTGGAAGGCCAGGTTCCACTTCCACATATCCATCATGTCCTTGCTCCGACCGCGTTTGAGGATGCATACTAAGCGCTCGATGCCGCCATCGACTGTGAGAATATCGCGAATACGAGCCGAGGACGTGGTGAGGTAGGCGAGATGGTTGAGAGAGTTGATGAGAGGAAGAGTAGACGTGCAGTCGAGAGCTCGTCGGTCGTAGAGGGCGGTCGTTATGCCGACCGACGCCTTGTTGACGTTTGGGATACTAAAATTGACTTCTCTCATCTTGAATGACGAGTAAGACGACGAGATTGATTCAAGGGTTGTTCAAGTCGAATGGGGCCAGGCAGTGCAGCCGTGGAAAGGTGCGGATATGACAAATCCCTTCCAGCTTGGGTGGCCCCTTTGACAGGGTTGAAAGAAGTGATATGTTGATTCGGGCTCGATGAATCGATGGGTCGATGATGGATCTCGAGGTGTGCCGAGTGAATAGCAAAGTGAGGAAGGAATCGAGGTTTGGGGTTGGGGTCGCTCGAGGGTGGCGATATTGTTGTGTGGGTTTGTATGAGAATTGGGTTGGATTGGACCGGATCGTGCGTGAGCGGACTCGTCTCGGTTCGATGGTACTGGTAGTAGTCTCGTGCGTTGCGAGGGGTCGGAGGTACGATGAGAAGCGTTGCAAGGCTTGTTGTTTTTCTTTGGTCGCGATCGATTCCGAAGACAATCGGTTGATTTGATAGAAGAAAAGGAGGCAGGAGAGGATGGTAGTAGTTTGTTGTAGGAAGAGAAGAGTCGCAGGAGTAAGGAAGAGGGTGCGATGTAGCGGCAAAAAGACGGTGGAGGGTAAAGGGTGATGGATTGGTTTGGTTGTGTTTCAGGACCGACACCCGGAAGCGTGACTCGGATGTGCTGTGAAATGGCAGTGGCAGCGTCAGCCAAAGCCAAAAGGAGCAGGAACTCTAAAAGCCTGGGCCGAGAGACAAGACGGATGCACGCAATGTGGAAGCGAGGTCTGGCATGCAGCGATAGCAGCGAGACAATGCGTGCGATGACGCTCTACGCTCGACGCGAGAAGGTGAGGGTGAAGAGCGGGACAAGCGACGGGGGAGGTTGGGAAAGAGGAAGATTAGGAAAAAAAGAGGAGGAGAGGAAGAAGAAGGGGCAGAGAAGAGAAGAGGAGAAGCAGACGATGAGGATGGATGCATCAGGTCCGCACGTACGCGAGATTTGTGCAGTGTTGGCCCAGTCCAGCCCGGTCAGGCAGCCCAGCCCAGCACCAGCCAGCAGGGCCCGACAGGACCAGGACGCACCTCATCACACAACTGGGTACCTAACAACAGGAGCACCTCAGCAATAGCGGCCAGCGACGCCCTTGGACGAGAAGGGCACACAGGGCGTTTCCCCGCCTCACACATGGACAATACGCACAGTCCCTGGAACAACGGAGCACACAGCATGCAAATTCTGTATTTAGGAGGCAGGGCTTCCTACTAGGTATTGATTCGGCATAACAAACAAATTGCGAGACTGGAACTACTCACCTGCCAACGGATCATACATCCTACCTCACCCATCTTTAGGCAACTTGCTTAATCGTTCAACGTACAGCGAAGCCGGGAGCGAGTCTCGGGGGCAGGTTGGGCTAGACAGGGCTGGGCAAAGACGCAACAGCTCACCCGATGGCACTCGACCATACCTAGGCCCTTGGGGCGATACGTCAAGCAAGGCAGGCACGGTAGCTGGATTGATTGGCGGTAAAATGGGCAGGAACTGTGGTGATGGAGCCTACGGGTACCTAGGACGGGGGCCAGGCAAAAGACGGGCAGGAAATCACCATATGGGACCGCTACGGCATTGAGCCAGGTAGGCACGTAGGTAAGTTAGGAGGTAGGCAAGGGAAGGTAACGAGTACCTAGGTGAGGTGCCTGCTGTAGAGGACCTTCAGCCACCTACCTACCTACATAATAAGGGAAGGTCACGGGTATCCGATTTTCGAGGGCAAACGCGGCGAAATTTAACAGCAACCTTCCTTCCGTGAACACCATGCACAGCGGTAGGCCCGCCGATAACGTCCTTCCGTCCCCCGACGCCGCCCTTCTATTATTCCTTTCGAAGCTCTTTCTTGGCCTTGATAACCCGTACGGATACTCCTCGACTCTGTATGCAGCTTATATAAGCGCAACTGATCTTGCGATGCCCCCCCCCCCCCCCCCCCTCGGCCGGACAGAGTCCGACCGGGTCAACATTCTGACGCGACTGCCATCTCCCCGAGCTCTCATCCAATGCATTGTTTGGAACATCGTGAGGCAAAATCACCATATGCCGCTGGCAAGGGAGCGACACCGGACAGTGAAATCACATTTTGCTGCATGCAGGGTCACAACTATTTACATAGGCCCTGTCCAGAGATCAAGTCGAGTCCAACATTAAAAGAAATACATAATCCAACTTGACTTCACCTAAGACAGTCATGCTTCGGTCTCTTGAAGTGCGTCACCTCTCGCAACGCAACGAACCGAGTCCGTCGAGTCTCTTCAGCCTCGAAGTACCTACGCACATACACACAAGATACATTCCGCATCGGGCAAGCAAAGGCAAAGACACCATATCAGGTACCGGTCACGCCGCTCCGCTGTGTCTGCCATCTAACACCCGCCACTCGGCCGCATTCGGCCTTGCCTGTACTCGGGGAGAGAGAGACCCTGACAAATCGCATGTCCATCTCCTGAGGACCGAAGGCCATGGTACGGATATGCTCTGCTACCTTCGACAAGCGTACAAGGTATCCAAGGTACCTCCAGGTGAGGCTAGCTCCCGCTCCCTCCAACACCACCGATCCCTTCACCGTCTTTTGACCCTCTCTTTTCCAGGTGCCCGGGACACGCCTCCTCTTTCAGCCTCCAGGAACCTCAGCATTCTCTTTGTTCCTTGAAACGACTCTTGTATTCCCCTGTTCATTCTTTTGTCCCTCGTACGGAGTATTCTGCATCTACTACTGTAGGCGTACAGTAGACAGTAGCAGTGGCCGTTTCTAGCGCTGTTCCCTGCCGCCTCCCGGTGCTTGAGCCGTCGGCTCGGGTTAATACCGCCGGAGCGAGTGACCTGAGTTGCTCACGGTCTTGTTGAGTACCTAGGTATTCGGACATTTCGTGGGGCCATGCTATTTTCCAGGCGGCAGGCATCAACCTGCACGTCAGTCTTTCTCCACCAAGGCGACCAAGGTGACCAAGGTGGTTGAAGGTTGACGGCGTCGTAATTCTGCCACACTGCGTAGCTTTTCAATCAGTCTGTGCCGGCTGCGATTGCATTATACACATGTTACCTGCATTGAGAGGCTTGACAGAGGAAAGACCAAGACATGAACACGCCAACGCAATCCAAAACGCCCCTGTAGTGTGGAACGTGGGACGTGGAACATTGATGGAAGGAAAGGAAAGAAGAAAAAGCAAAGGCAGCCAAGTGGTCCAGCCGTTGGCGATGCGAAATTGGGAGCTGAGAAAGCTGCGGTCTACGGCTCTAGTGCATGAACGACCGTGTATTGCATGTGTCGTGAGCTCTCGGCTGCTGCAAGACAGGATACCCTGAGCAAGACAAAGAGCTGGGGAGAGTTTGTCGAGTCTGTGTGACAACGGGAGAGTAGGAGAGGTGGCAGATGCGACGACCGTTCGCACTACTTTGTTGCTGGTCCGGTTTGATGTTGGCAGCTTACACCATCCTTATCTCTGATTGCTTAGACTGATCGAGAACCGTGCTCTCCTACGTTTAGGTAGGTATCTCACCTTTAGCAGGTCTATCTCACCATTGACAGGTACTGCTAAACTCCATGATGCTTCCTTCCCCTTGGGCTTGGGTGGTATCTCGGAATGATCGTTTCAGGGACCGCAGAGAGTCATCATTTACATTCCTGCGCCCATTGCCTCGGTACTTTTTCTGCTGTCACTGGTGTTGCCGTGGCATTGGCAGTGCGAGTCTCACCTCAGGTCCTCAAGTTCCCAGTGGAATTTTACAGGCACATACGAATACAGAAACAACTGACACAGGCGAACTGAGAGGGAATGTGCCCCACCACTGTCTTCAGCAATCGTCAGCGAACGGCACTTGTCCCAGATCCAGCACAAATATTGGTGCGAGATTACATTCCTCGGAGCGTCGTTTTCGTGAAGACTGAAAAAAGAGAGCGTGCCCTGATTCGGAAGCGGTGAGGTCATGGTCTGTTAGAGAAGAGATCGCACCGCCTGGGCACAGATGCAGCCATGAGTGCCATGTGTCAATTTCAATATCAACATCAAATTTTTAGTTTTGCAGGCACAGGGCAGGCGCCGAAGAGGAGGGAACGCCTTCCCGTTTACCTCCCGCCCGACGAGGACAGAGGGACGGCAGGGAGGGCGGGGCCTTCGCCGCCTTCCATGTATTCGTACAGGGAAGACTCCGGGAAAGAGCCCGCCCGCTGGACCTGCCCTCCGCCCATCTACCATGTACCCATTCGTACCTACTTAAGGTACCGTAGGTACCCTAAAGAAGGTGCCTCCTCCAGGGACTACCTACACAGGGTAGCCGCCGGTGTCATCTCCTTCCTGCACCTCACTGACCGGAAAATTTCAGCAAATTTCTGAATCAGATTGTCTTGGACGACGTCGGAAACAGACAAAGAATGCCTTCGGATACTACCTGATTGCTTACCTTACATCTCAAGGTAGTACCTCAGGTACAAGGCCCCCAGCATCGAGTTTTATGCTCCTGATCCTTCCGACCCGTCGGGACCCTCGATGGCTTTCTCCACCTCAGCCGTCTTGGACTCTTGGTTACAGCACACCACGTAAGGTCCGCCGCCCTCCCTTCCGTTCCCTTGGCGGAACATTGTCCGGAGAACCATCCGCACAAGCTGAGCAGCACCGGGGACAGCGACTTGCAACGTCCATTGTCCAATGCCATCGCAATGCAACCGACCGCGCACGCAATAACAATCCCATTCATGGGTACTGGCATGGGCACTGGCATTACCTTAGCATTGACAATTGCCCCACAAACACCAACCTCCATCGTTGTTTTCTCCTCTGTAAGGAAACTAATACTTATTATTCTACAGGTAGACAGTCAGAAACTCAGAGAGCACCTTAGCAACCAAGTCACCGATAGACCTTCCGATACCTAGAGTACATCCCTACCTGACCGTCCAAGGCAGACTCAGAGACGCATGCCGATGGCGAGCCGTTAGACGCCTTGCTGCCGACTTTGGCGTGGCCTGCTGCATGCAGAATCCTTCTTTTTATCCTTCCGCCTCTGCC